TTCTATATCCAGGATCAGTTCTATATCCAGGGTCAGTTCTATATCCAGGGTCAGTTCTATATCCAGGGTCAGTTCTATATCCAGGATCAGTTCTATATCTAGGGTCAGTTCTATATCCATGATCAGTTCTATATCCAGGATCAGTTCTATATCCAGGGTCAGTTCTATATCCAGGGTCAGTTCTATATCCAGGGTCAGTTCTATATCCAGGGTCAGTTCTATATCCAGGGTCAGTTCTATATCCAGGGTCAGTTCTATATCCAGGATCAGTTCTATATCTAGGGTCAGTTCTATATCCAGGATCAGTTCTATATCCAGGGTCAGTTCTATATCCAGGGTCAGTTCTATATCCAGGATCAGTTCTATATCCAGGATCAGTTCTATATCCAGGGTCAGTTCTATATCCAGGGTCAGTTCTATATCCAGGATCAGTTCTATATCCAGGATCAGTTCTATATCCAGGGTCAGTTCTATATCCAGGATAGGTTCTATATCCAGGGTCAGTTCTATAGCCAGGATCAGTTCTATATCCAGGATCAGTTCTATATCCAGGATCAGTTCTATATCTAGGGTCAGTTCTATATCCAGGATCAGTTCTATATCCAGGATCAGTTCTATATCCAGGGTCAGTTCTATATCCAGGATCAGTTCTATATCCAGGATCAGTTCTATATACAGGGTCAGTTCTATATCCAGGATCAGTTCTATATCCAGGATCAGTTCTATATCCAGGATCAGTTCTATATCTAGGGTCAGTTCTATATCCAGGATCAGTTCTATATCCAGGGTCAGTTCTATATCCAGGATTAGTTCTATATCTAGGGTCAGTTCTATATCCAGGATCAGTTCTATATCCAGGGTCAGTTCTATATCCAGGGTCAGTTCCAGGATCAGTTCTATATCCAGGGTCAGTTCTATATCCAGGATCAGTTCTATATCCAGGATCAGTTCTATATCCAGGATCAGTTCTATATCCAGGATCAGTTCTATATCCAGGGTCAGTTCTATATCTAGGGTCAGTTCTATATCCAGGATCAGTTCTATATCCAGGGTCAGTTCTATATCCAGGATCAGTTCTATATCTAGGGTCAGTTCTATATCCAGGATCAGTTCTATATCCAGGATCAGTTCTATATCCAGGATCAGTTCTATATCTAGGGTCAGTTCTATATCCAGGATCAGTTCTATATCCAGGATCAGTTCTATATCCAGGGTCAGTTCTATATCTAGGGTCAGTTCTATATCCAGGATCAGTTCTATATCCAGGGTCAGTTATATATCCAGGATCAGTTCTATATACAGGGTCAGTTCTATATCCAGGATCAGTTCTATATCCAGGATCAGTTCTATATCCAGGATCAGTTCTATATCTAGGGTCAGTTCTATATCCAGGATCAGTTCTATATCCAGGGTCAGTTCTATATCCAGGATCAGTTCTATATCCAGGATCAGTTCTATATACAGGGTCAGTTCCAGGATCAGTTCTATATCCAGGGTCAGTTCTATATCCAGGATCAGTTCTATATCCAGGATCAGTTCTATATCCAGGATCAGTTCTATATCCAGGGTCAGTTCTATATCCAGGGTCAGTTCTCTCCACATGTTTATTTCCCGCTCCTATTCTCATCACTACACTACAAAATGACTGACTGACTAACTGTCTACCTGGTCCAAGGTGCCTGACTAACTGTCTACCTGGTCCAAGGTGACTGACTAACTGTCTACCTGGTCCAAGGTGAGTTACTAACTGTCTACCTGGTCCAAGGTGACTGACTAACTGTCTACCTGGTCCAAGGTGACTGACTAACTGTCTACCTGGTCCAAGGTGAGTTACTAACTGTCTACCTGGTCCAAAGTGAGTTACTAACTGTCTACCTGGTCCAAGGTGACTGACTAACTGTCTACCTGGTCCAAGGTGACTGACTAACTGTCTACCTGGTCCAAGGTGACTGACTAACTGTCTACCTGGTCCAAGGTGACTGACTAACTGTCTACCTGGTCCAAGGTGACTGACTGTCTACCTGGTCCAAGGTGACTGACTAACTGTCTACCTGGTCCAAGGTGCCTGACTAACTGTCTACCTGGTCCAAGGTGACTGACTAACTGTCTACCTGGTCCAAGGTGACTGACTAACTGTCTACCTGGTCCAAGGTGACTGACTAACTGTCTACCTGGTCCAAGGTGACTGACTAACTGTCTACCTGGTCCAAGGTGACTGACTAACTGTCTACCTGGTCCAAGGTGACTGACTAACTGTCTACCTGGTCCAAGGTGACTGACTAACTGTCTACCTGGTCCAAGGTGAGTTACTAACTGTCTACCTGGTCCAAGGTGCCTGACTAACTGTCTACCTGGTCCAAGGAGCCTGACTAACTGTCTACCTGGTCCAAGGTGACTGACTAACTGTCTACCTGGTCCAAGGTGACTGACTAACTGTCTACCTGGTCCAAGGTGAGTTACTAACTGTCTACCTGGTCTAAGGTGAGATACTAACTGTCTACCTGGTCCAAGGTGAGTGACTAACTGTCTACCTGGTCCAAGGTGACTGACTAACTGTCTACCTGGTCCAAGGTGACTGACTAACTGTCTACCTGGTCCAAGGAGCCTGACTAACTGTCTACCTGGTCCAAGGTGACTGACTAACTGTCTACCTGGTCCAAGGTGACTGACTAACTGTCTACCTGGTCCAAGGTGGCTGACTAACTGTCTACCTGGTCCAATGTGACTGACTAACTGTCTACCTGGTCCAAGGTGACTGACTAACTGTCTACCTGGTCCAAGGTGACTGACTAACTGTCTACCTGGTCCAAGGTGCCTGACTAACTGTCTACCTGGTCCAAGGTGACTGACTAACTGTCTACCTGGTCCAAGGTGAGTTACTAACTGTCTACCTGGTCCAAGGTGACTGACTAACTGTCTACCTGGTCCAAGGTGACTGACTAACAGTCTACCTGGTCCAAGGTGAGTTACTAACTGTCTACCTGGTCCAAGGTGACTGACTAACTGTCTACCTGGTCCAAGGTGACTGACTAACTGTCTACCTGGTCCAAGGTGAGTTACTAACTGTCTACCTGGTCCAAGGTGACTGACTAACTGTCTACCTGGTCCAAGGTAATTGACTAACTGTCTACCTGGTCCAAGGTGAGATACTAACTGTCTACCTGGTCCAAGGTGCCTGACTAACTGTCTACCTGGTCCAAGGTGACTGACTAACTGTCTACCTGGTCCAAGGTGACTGACTAACTGTCTACCTGGTCCAAGGTGACTGACTAACTGTCTACCTGGTCCAAGGTGACTGACTAACTGTCTACCTGGTCCAAGGTGACTGACTAACTGTCTACCTGGTCCAAGGTGCCTGACTAACTGTCTACCTGGTCCAAGGTGACTGACTAACTGTCTACCTGGTCCAAGGTGACTAACTAACTGTCTACCTGGTCCAAGGTGACTGACTAACTGTCTACCTGGTCCAAGGTGACTGACTAACTGTCTACCTGGTCCAAGGTGACTGACTAACTGTCTACCTGGTCCAAGGTGACTGACTAACTGTCTACCTGGTCCAAGGTGACTGACTAACTGTCTACCTGGTCCAAGGTGAGTTACTAACTGTCTACCTGGTCCAAGGAGCCTGACTAACTGTCTACCTGGTCCAAGGTGACTGACTAACTGTCTACCTGGTCCAAGGTGACTGACTAACTGTCTACCTGGTCCAAGGTGACTGACTAACTGTCTACCTGGTCCAAGGTGACTGACTAACTGTCTACCTGGTCCAAGGTGAGTGACTAACTGTCTACCTGGTCCAAGGAGCCTGACTAACTGTCTACCTGGTCCAAGGTGACTGACTAACTGTCTACCTGGTCCAAGGTGAGATACTAACTGTCTACCTGGTCCAAGGTGCCTGACTAACTGTCTACCTGGTCCAAGGTGACTGACTAACTGTCTACCTGGTCCAAGGTGACTGACTAACTGTCTACCTGGTCCAAGGTGACTGACTAACTGTCTACCTGGTCCAAGGTGACTGACTAACTGTCTACCTGGTCCAAGGTGACTGACTAACTGTCTACCTGGTCCAAGGTGACTGACTAACTGTCTACCTGGTCCAAGGTGACTGACTAACTGTCTACCTGGTCCAATGTGACTGACTAACTGTCTACCTGGTCCAAGGTGACTGACTAACTGTCTACCTGGTCCAAGGTGACTGACTAACTGTCTACCTGGTCCAAGGTGACTGACTAACTGTCTACCTGGTCCAAGGCGACTGACTAACTGTCTACCTGGTCCAAGGTGACTGACTAACTGTCTACCTGGTCCAAGGTGCCTGACTAACTGTCTACCTGGTCCAAGGTGACTGACTAACTGTCTACCTGGTCCAAGATGTAATTAGAGACACTGTAGTAGTAATGGACAGGACTTTTCCAGGTGCTCAAAGTGAGTAACATGTCAGTGTATCTACCGAGAGGACATCTCTTCCCCACTCTTCAGTCAGTCAGCCAGCCAGTCAGTCAGCCAGTCAGCCAGCCAGCCAGCCAGCCAGTCAGTCAGCCAGCCAGTCAGTCAGCCAGTCAGTCAGTCAGCCAGTCAGTCAGTCAGTCAGTCAGCCAGCCAGTCAGTCAGTCAGTCAGTCAGTCAGTCAGTCAGCCAGTCAGCCAGTCAGCCAGTCAGCCAGCCAGTCAGTCAGCCAGCCAGTCAGCCAGTCAGCCAGTCAGTCAGCCAGTCAGTCAGTCAGCCAGCCAGTCAGTCAGTCAGTCAGCCAGCCAGTCAGTCAGTCAGTCAGTCAGCCAGTCAGCCAGTCAGCCAGTCAGCCAGTCAGCCAGCCAGTCAGCCAGTCAGTCAGTCAGCCAGTCAGTCAGCCAGCCAGTCAGTCAGCCAGTCAGTCAGTCAGCCAGTCAGCCAGTCAGTCAGCCAGTCAGCCAGTCAGCCAGTCAGCCAGTCAGTCAGTCAGTCAGCCAGTCAGCCAGTCAGTCAGTCAGTCAGTCAGTCAGTCAGTTCATCGTCATACTCACTTGTTGTAAATCCAGCCCTCCCTGGGCCATATGGAAGAGGGGGTGTGACCCGTAGTCAGACGTCTCAAACACCTTCAAGCACAGAGGCAGAGAGACAGACAGACAGACAGACAGACAGGGGGTCAGACTCAGTACAGTCAAACTGTAGGATGTCACAGGCGCCAAAAATCTGCCTCTGGTCTCCCCTACATAAAACTAAGTCAAAAGACCAGGGGGTCAGGCGCACCTCAGTAAATATATTAAACAACCCACTGCAACGCAAGGTATCCTGTTCAGTGTCCCCTATCACCACCATCACATCACCCACTGCAACGCAAGGTATCCTGTTCAGTGTCCCCTATCACCACCATCACATCATTCTGATCATCTTTTCTCATCAACGTCAGAGATTTAACATCAAATAGATCATCGTTTGGCAGGAACATTAATCTAATTTTAAAAAGGGGCCATTTATGTAATTACATTAATACATTGATACAGTGGGGGGAAAAAAAAGTATTTAGTCAGCCACCAATTGTGCAAGTTCTCCCACTTAAAAATATGAGAGGCCTGTAATTTTCATCATAGGTACACGTCAACTATGACAGACGAATTGAGAAAAAAAAATCCAGAAAATCACATTGTAGGATTTTTTATGAATTTATTTGCAAATTATGGTGGAAAATAATATTTGGTCACCTACAAACAAGCAAGATTTCTGGCTCTCACAGACCTGTAACTTCTTCTTTAAGAGGCTCCTCTGTCCTCCACTCGTTACCTGTATTAATGGCACCTGTTTGAACTTGTTATCAGTATAAAAGACACCTGTCCACAACCTCAAACAGTCACACTCCAAACTCCACTATGGCCAAGACCAAAGAGCTGTCAAAGGACACCAGAAACAAAATTGTAGACCTGCACCAGGCTGGGAAGACTGAATCTGCAATAGGTAAGCAGCTTGGTTTGAAGAAATCAACTGTGGGAGCAATGATTAGGAAATGGAAGACATACAAGACCACTGATAATCTCCCTCGATCTGGGGCTCCACGCAAGATCTCACCCCGTGGGGTCAAAATGATCACAAGAACGGTGAGCAAAAATCCCAGAACCACACGGGGGGACCTAGTGAATGACCTGTAGAGAGCTGGGACCAAAGTAACAAAGCCTACCATCAGTAACACACTACGCCGCCAGGGACTCAAATCCTGCAGTGCCAGACGTGTCCCCCTGCTTAAGCCAGTACATGTCCAGGCCCGTCTGAAGTTTGCTAGAGTGCATTTGGATGATCCAGAAGAGGATTGGGAGAATGTCATATGGTCAGATGAAACCAAAATATAACTTTTTGGTAAAAACTCAACTCGTCGTGTTTGGAGGACAAAGAATGCTGAGTTGCATCCAAAGAACACCATACCTACTGTGAAGCATGGGGATGGAAACATCATGCTTTGGGGCTGTTTTTCTGCAAAGGGACCAGGACGACTGATCCGTGTAATGGAAAGAATGAATGGGGCCGTTGAATGAATGTATCGTGAGATTTTGAGTGAAAACCTCCTTCCATCAGCAAGGGCATTGAAGATGAAACGTGGCTGGGTCTTTCAGCATGACAATGATCCCAAACACACCGCCCGGGCAATGAAGGAGTGGCTTCGTAAGAAGCATTTCAAGGTCCTGGAGTGGCCTAGCCAGTCTCCAGATCTCAACCCTATAGACAATCTTTGGAGGGAGTTGAAAGTCTGTTTTGCCCAGCGACAGCCCCAAAACATCACTGTTCTAAAGGAGATCTGCATGGAGGAATGGGCCAAAATACCAGCAACAGTGTGTGAACCTTGTGAAGACTTACAGAAAACGTTTGACCTGTGTCATTGCCAACAAAGGGTATATAACAAAGTATTGAGAAACTTTTGTTATTGACCAAATACTTATTTTCCACCATAATTTGCAAATAAATTCATAAAAAATCCTACAATGTGATTTTCTGGATTTTTTTTCTTCTCATTTTGTCTGTCATAGTTGACGTGTACCTATGATGAAAATTACAGGCCTCTCTCATCTTTTTAAGTGGGAGAACTTGCACAATTGGTGGCTGACTAAATACTTTTTTCCCCCACTGTATAGGGAACCTCAGTCACAGGTCGCAAGCATCAAGCAATAAGCTGAGAAACATCCAGCCAATGTCCCAAATGGCACCCTAGTCCCTATCTAGTGCACTACTTTCGACTAGGGCCCATAAGGCTTTCATCAAAAGTAGTGCACTATATAGGGAATAGGGTGCCATTTGGAACGTAGAGGCAGATCCACTTTAATGCCATTGCAATTTATTTATTTTCTGCTCTGGAACCCAGGCAGAAAATGATGGCTGAATATTCATGAAGATGATTGATCTTGATATTATTGTATGCAACCGTGTGTGTATGTGTGTGTATGTGTACGCGTGTGTATGTGTTTGTATGTGTATGTGTGTGTATGTGTGTGTGTGTATGTGTTTGTATGTGTGTGTGTGTATGTGTGTGTGTGTATGTGTGTGTATGTGTGTGTGTGTATGTGTGTGTATGTGTGTGTATGTGTGTGTATGTGTACGCATGTGTATGTGTGTGTATGTGTGTGTGTGTACGCGCGTGTGTGTATGTGTGTGTGTGTGTGCAGGTGTATGGGTGTGTGTGGTGTGCGTACGCGTGATTCTAATGAGTAGTCATGCTACACTATGATGAATAAACATTAGGTTGAGTCCTCTTTGGTGTCCTCTGACTAAGCTTTGATGTAGTCAGTCATCCGTGTGTGTGTGTGTGTGTGTGTGTGTGTGTGTGTGTGTGTGTGTGTCCACAGGGCACCGATCAAATGGATGCTGGATAATTCAGAGTGGCAATGTGGGAGTGTGTGTGTGTGTGTGTGTGTGTGTGTGTGTGTGTGTGTGTGTGTGTGTGTGTGTGAGGAATGTGGAGTATGAGATATGCGTAGAAATGTTTTCGTACTGACAACAATAGAAAGGCAATATTAGAATGTCTTTAATATCTCAACAATAACATTTTATAGATAAATATGGACCAGGCCGAAATTACAGTGAATTAATACAGACCAGGGTTTAATATGCTATTCAGATATTTGAAAATACTTGGGATTGGGACTATTCTCTTGCTAATCGCACCTGAAGTACTTTGAATATTTAAATTCAATATCGCAACCTGGTGTGGAGGATGAGGAAGTTCAGGTGGTTATTGTGAGGTGGTCAAATATTATATTTCTATGGTCATGTGCTCTGATTCTTACCGGTTATGTGATGTTAAGGTTGATGTGATGTGATGCTATACTGTGTTCTATGTTGTGTTGCGTTACGTTATGGGTTCTGATCCTCACCTGGTTCCCGGCCATCATGACTGTTCCTGGGGAGGGGCTGGGTCGGTATGGAATAGTGGCCCCTTTCGGAGGTGACTAGATACAAGAGGACAAAACCAAACAGTATTAAAGACAGGGTAGCTTTTAGTAAAAACATCACAGTACAATTGAGGGCAACAACACACAATCAAATATAGTCGTACAGCCTAAAAAGGATAGATGAGTTGAAGAATGTTGGGACCACGTTTCAAAAACGTGGAAATCTTCTACATATTTTGAGCATTTCCTTTAGCCTGCCTGGAGTGTCAGATGGGATTAGAGCTAGGGACTAGATATATAAACACTAGATAGGATTAGAGCTAGGGACTAGATATATAAACACTAGATAGGTTTAGAGCTAGGGACTAGATATATAAACAGTAGATAGGATTAGAGCTAGGGACTAGATATATAAACACTAGATAGGATTAGAGCTAGGGACTAGATATATAAACAGTAGATAGGATTAGAGCTAGGGACTAGATATATAAACACTAGATAGGATTAGAGCTAGGGACTAGATATATAAACACTAGATAGGATTAGAGCTAGGGACTAGATATATAAACACTAGATAGGATTAGAGCTAGGGACTAGATATATAAACACTAGATAGAATTAGAGCTAGGGACTAGATATATAACCAGTAGATAGGATTAGAGCTAGGGACTAGATATATAAACACTAGATAGGATTAGAGCTAGGGACTAGATATTTAAACACTAGATAGGATTAGAGCTAGGGACTAGATATATAAACACTAGATAGGATTAGAGCTAGGGACTAGATATATAAACACTAGATAGGATTAGAGCTAGGGACTAGATATTTAAACACTATGAATATGGTCAATACAGGCTCCCTTTGAGGAGACTAGATACAAAACGACCAAAAAACTACAACTATACAGACAAAGTAGATGTATCTTTGAAACGCTTTGATTCTAAAATTACATTGAAAGTGCATGCTTGGATAGGGTCAGCGTTCTCTCCAGCAGAGATTCAGGTGGAATAACAATGAGTTACTAAATCCTTTGATTTCTCTGTTTTAGCATTTAGACTAATCCTCATAAGTGGTCTACTCACTGCGGTAGGCTAGTTCTTAATATTTGCAGATAAGAGGGTATACATTTTAGATATTGCATTACAGACGGACAGACAGATAGATTAGATTAGATTAGTATTACATTTATAGTAATATAATATAATATGCCATTTAGCAGACGCTTTTATCCAAAGCGACTTACAGTCATGTGCGCATATATTTTTACGTATGGGTGGTCCCGGGGATCGAACCCACTACCCTGGCGTTACAAGCGCCATGCTCTACCAATTGAGCTACAGAGGACCACATGTCGTAGTCTTGTGTGTTGTTTATCATACATCTTTTTTGATACTTGACGATTTCACACGTTTTGCTTAAAGTCATACTCCAGTCTCCTATCACCTGATTTACTTAACAAAAGGCAAATCTTACTAGGTGATCCAGGTATCCTCATGACATGGCACAAGTTGGGGGGGGGGGGGGGGCTTTCCTTTTTTGTTCTCTATTGTTCCCCAAGCAAGGCGGAGGCTGATGACATCAGAGGGCACCATCAGACCAACTCCTTAAATGACCTACTCCTTGAAGTTTGCACTTGTGTAAAAAAAAAACGCTATCTTGCTCAAAAAACATATACACTCAGTTTATTAGGTACACCACCCAGTTCATGAAAATGATTCGCTCCTACAGACAGTGAGTCACGTGGCCGTGACTTGTTATGTAAAGCAGGCAGACAGGCATCGAGGCATTCAGTTGCTGTTTGATTGAACGTTAGAATGGGGAAAAAGAGTGACCTAAGCGATATGGTACTATCGTCAGTGCCTGGAGCGCCGGATCCAGTATCTCAGAAACGCTTGGCCTCCTGGGCTTTTCACACACGACAGTGTCTAGGGTTTACAGAGAATGGTGCAACAAACTAAAAACATCCATTCAGCGGCCGTCCTGGGGGAGAAAACAGCTCATTGATGAGAGAGGTGGAAGGAGAATGGCAAGAATCACGCAAGCTAACAGGCGGCCCACAAACAGACAAATAACGGCGCAGTACAACAGTGGTGTGCAGAACGGCATCTAGGAACACACAACTCATCGGTCCTTGTCACGGACGGGCTGTCGCAGCAGACGACCACACCGGGTTCCACTCCTATCAACTAAAAACAAGAAGAAGCGGCTCCAGTGGGCACGCCATCACCAACACCGGACAACTGAGGAGTGGAAAAACATTTGCCTGGTCTGACGAATCTCAGTTCCTGTTGCGTCACGCTGATGGCAGAGTCATGATTTGGCGTAAACAGCATGAGTCCATGGCCCCATCCTGCCTGGTGTCAACGGTACAGGCTGGTGGCTGGTGGTGTAATGGTGTGGGGAATGTTTTCCTGGCACACGGTAGGTCCCTCTTGATACCAGTTGAGCAACGTTTGAAAGCCACACCTTGCAGAATCCATTCCCCGAAGAATGCAGGCTGTTCTGGAGGAAAAAGGGGGTCTGACCCGGTACTAGATTGGTGTACCTAATAATATTGTTTTTTAAACAGTAAAAATAGCTGGAGTCTGTCTTTAAATCAATTATGACCTTCATCTCTTACTGTGGCTGGTAATGATGTGGTGATGAAAACCAATCCTCTGGTGAAGCCATGAGCCATGCAAATAAACCACACTGCTATCGGCTAAGTGCACACTTTTGGAGATGTGTGGAGAACGCAGCCGAGTGTACAGTACCTCAAGAATTACAGTGCATATCAGTTTGACACACTGGATGATAGCGTCTTGGGTCCCAGATATCGTCACTCCTCTCTCTGTGGAGTTGGGCAGAAGGTCCCCAGCTACCTGTACTTGTGCCCCGGTGGTCTGTTGAGTGAGAAAATACACAGGTCATTTATCTGGAGCAAAACACAAGCTTAACTCCTTGTTGTTAACCTTTCACTTCTGGCTCATATTTACAATTGCAAACTGACACAGACCTTTCTCAACTGTCTAAAACAATTCTCCTCTCAAGTTCAAATAGTTCAAATAGTTCAAATAGTTCAAGAAGTTTACTTGCCATTTGCAGGTATTAAAAGTAATACATTGGATGTGTTTTGTTTGAGCTCTCTGTATAGTACATCCACATGTACAGTGACCTATCCTAAACAGAACATCTATTAAACGTGCTGAGTGGGTAAGATCAGGAAAAAATGTTCAGTCATATGTGCTAAAGTGCTAAAAGTTGGATAAAAACAGCTCTTCTCATCCCATTGCTCTGATCTGAAATAACTGACCAGGTGAAAGCCATCCTAATGATGAGCTTCCAACATATTGTTTTCACCTGTCAAATGTGAAAAAATCCACCTGTCATTTATACACAGATGCATAACAAACTGCATGATATGAATCAGACTTTAAACCTACTCTGTCCTCTCCTCAACTGCTCTCCTTCACTGTACTGATTTGAAAGAACTGACAGCAAGCCACCATCCTGTTTTCACAGGTCAATCAACTTTTACAATCAGTGCAGATGAAGGGGAGGAGACTAGGAGAGGACGGATGTTTAAGCGATTGGTAAAGAGAAACCCTCACCTCTCTGATCTCCTTGATCTTGGAGCCGCCCTTCCCGATGAGAGAGCCGCATTGGCTGGCAGGAATGACCAATCGCAGGGTGACGGGGGGCTTGCTGGTGACCGTGCCATTGGCTACCAGAGTTGTAAGGTCCTGGAGGGTACAAAGATGATTGGTTGTAGAAGGCCTGTGCCTCAAAACGTTTAGTGATTTAGCAGAAACTTTTAGCCAGAGCGACTTACACTCAGTGTATTCAACTAAGGTAGGTTAAAAGAACCACATACCAAAGTCATTGCGAGTGGGGATACGATAGGTAAATGCTGGTCAAGATGACGGCTGGCTGGTCATGTAAATACCATCCCTATACTAGTAACATTTAATCAATGTCTCCATCTCAGAGTTTAGTTTGCACGTCAACGGTCCTGAATCCTGCCAGTCAGAGAAAGAAAGGATCTGTGCCTTCCTCTATCCTATGTAGATCACACTGCTGGTGAAATATATTCATTTTCTTGAAACTT